TGTGTCTTACCCTCTTGCTTGAGGGTGTCAATGATGGCCTTCTGGACAGCAGTCAGGTCGGCAGTCTTACCCATGATTGCGGTTTTGAGTAATGAACAAGGCTGGGAGTTTTTAAAAGCCTCAGGAATCTTTTGCAGGTGTTTAGAGTTACGTCGTTGATTCAGATGGTTAGGTTAATAGCTTGTTTAGAGAAACTTTTCATGATATGCTAATTTTTTGGGACAGGCATTTTGGGTTTTCATGAGCTGTATGCCATAATCATCAGTATTAAAACAATTAAAGACCTGAAATATTTCAGTTGGTGTGCAATGAATCTGAAATATATGAAAGTTTCATTTTTATCATTACATTATGGAAAATAATGACCTTTATCACAATATGCTAATTTTTTGAGAAGGACCTGTACAAGCCACAGAATCCCTGTGTAGGTGCACTGGAGCAAATGCTGCTTGGCTTGTTTTTAGGTAAATATAATAAATATTTTAGGAGCTTACCTGATTTGATTCAGCTGATCTGGGTTTCTTCAGAAAACTGCAATCCCAAACATTCAGATTTGAAAACCACCCTGATGATAAATGGTAATTAAGAACAATTTTGGTCTAAATCTGCCTTTCTTCATTTCTAAATCGTGTTCAAGTAGAATAAATCCTAAATGTGCAGGTGGCTGCTAAGGTAGGTACAATGTGGCTGGAAGTGGTCAACAAATCAATGTGCCTGGTCTGCAATAGTTTTGCAAGTTGAGCGCGTGAAAAAAAGCACAAACTTGACTGCACTGCCACTTGTTCACAAACACACAATTCAGTGGGACTACAACAGAAAATTTGCCAATTTTCTCATAATTTTCTTGCAGTTTTGAGCGTCTTAATTCATCACCAGCACTCACAGTCCAGTGAGATCCTGACTTTAGTTACAGACCTTTTCATTCTCATCTAAAGCTAACCAGCTAGTTTTTCCAGTTTGTCTTTATGCTCAACACTGACTTTTATAAAACGTATATTGTACATAAAATAGTGTTTTCATTAAGTTTTCTTCAAATGTAATTACAAATAGTTATACTCTTCTTAGAAATGAATTTATAAGCAGAAACCTTGTCTTTGTGCTGCAACTTGAAAAAAGAGCCGTTTTGTCTCATTATTTCATCAGGTCCTCAGCGAGGCTACAGAAGACAACCTCATCGACCTCGGTCCAGGCTCTCCTGCCGTGGTCAGTAACATGCCGCACACAGCTCCAACCAGTTTGCCCCCCACCCTGACGGCACCCACAGGAGGACCTTCCTCCCCAAGCACCTTGTCCTCCCGCCTGGCTGGTTTAGGTATTTACATCAGTTTACCCTACTCCCTTTAATACTTAACAAAGATCCTGCAGCACCTGCTACTAGCTGGACTTTAAAGTAGAAAGAAGAAATATTTATGACGGCTGAAAAGTTCTCTCACAGTCCAGATGTGGGCAGATGGGAATAATAAACCTCTTGATTTTATCCAGAGGTCACGATGACATCACTGTTAGAAATTGTGTATACCGCTGTTGCAGAAAAGTGACAAACACAAACTTGGGTTTATGAAATATTCAGTTTTTAGATGTCCATATTAAGTCTAACTAAATATCATATTTAAAGAGTACATCTGCAGGAACTAAATGCGCTATCTGTGTATACTGTTGCATACTGTACAATAATCATCGTTTTTGATGATGTTCTGATTCTGTGTAATCTACTTTACTACAAGTCTCTCAGCTGACTACCGGTAATTAGACTTGTGACTTTTGGAAACTACTCTTTCTTTTACAAACCCAACAGCCCCTCAGAGAATAATCCTATTTAAATACCTATTCTGTTCATTGCAGATGTGGGCGCAGACAGTGTGAGCAGTACCCTGAGCTCCCTCGTCAGCTGTAAACCTCCACCTGCACAAGACGACTTCGACGTGTTCGCTCAGACCAGAACCGGAGCCATAACCGAACCACACAAAACGTAAGAATTCACTGGTGACCTGTTTCTCATGGACTCATTTTAAATCAAGGGAGAGGATTTGCGCTTCCGTTATTTTTGAGTAAACAATTAAAAGAGAGCTAAACAAACATGTCTCCTAAGTGTTGCAATGACCCCACACCTGTTTCCTCTCAGTACCACTGCAGAGCCCAGCCGCACTGCTCGTGACCCCCCTCCCACACTTGATGTTCAACAGCAAGCTGCAGGAGGGGTGAGTTTCACTGATAATTTAATAATCATTATTTTCCAAACTACTTGATGTTTGTGTGGTCTGACACTTTGTCACATGGCTGCACCTCTTCATGACTCTGCTAATTTATTAAGAGATAAGATTTAAATCTTCCGCAACTCTTTGTTTTTTTTTTTTTATTATTATAGAATCCATCTATCCATTTTTTTACCTGCTTCTTCCTTTCATGAAGATTAGAAGGAACAAAGATAGATGTACAGGTTTCACTGTCTGTAAACCGTGAATACTAAAACTAAAATGAAACATGATTTTGTACATAAATAAGATGCGCTGGTGTATAAGCCACTGGTGTCCACAATTTCATATCAGAAACTGTACACATCTGACAGAATGTGCAGGTCTTGTTGTAGTACACTGATCAACCACTAGATGGCGTTTCATAGACTTTGCGTTTCAACACACACACACACACACACACACACACACACACTCTGCGTGATCCTTACAGGTCTTCATGATGACACACTCTCTGACTCATGGTTCTCCCAAAAAAAGAAACTTGTCCAGATGATATGATTTAATTTTTTTTGCATTTATTTACCTGGATGATTGAGCTTACAACCCTTTTTTTTTTTTAAGAGCTTAAAGATTGGAAGAGAATTTATCAGCTTTCCACCAAACAGTAGGAGAAGGTAGCAATTGGCGAGTGAATGTCCCGGCAGCTGAAGACTCGAAACGTTTCCTCAAACAGGCTGGTATGAATGAAACAAAGAAACAAGACAGGAATGTTGGATTTAAGTTCAAAGTGTTCCTCTTGACAAATCAATCAGTTTAGGATGTTATACAGATATCATAAACTGTGCTAAAAGTTAAATGCATTTTTTTTTTTTTAAACCTGAGGTTTGCCCCCATTTTTTAAATGGATTACGGTCTCATCTGTGGGACTCACTGAAGGAAATTCAAGATCTCCAAAAAAAGTTCTCCATATCTGATACGTTAGCTGATGACTCGGTCGTTATGCAATGACTAGTAAAATTGACTAAAACCTGCATTAATTTCAACGTTGTCGTGACATGCAGCTCCCTGTTCATTGTTTATTGCTGTAATAGTTTGGCTGACTGTCGCCGCAACTGATGTGCAAGCAAGCGCCCAGACTTTTCAGTGTTCATAGTAACCCTGTCTAGATTTAGAGATTAAATAATCTGCCTGCTGAGTAGACAAAGTATTAAATTCAGTTTGAAGCAACAAACGTTTCTGCATTAGATCCTGTGAGGGGGAGTGGCTATATTCTGTCTATCGGGAATTGTAATATCTCATGAATTATTTGTTTTAGACACCCCGACCCCTTTTGTTTTTGTTTTTTTTGTTTGTTTGCACAGTAGAAAATTATGTTCCTACTGTGCAAACTGTGTAATTACTGTGTAATTTTCCAATTATTTGATGAAAGCACACAACTTGTGTCACTGCCAATTATAAGGTTATGTGTTGACATATTCAGTATGTATGAGAAGAGGTTATTGAAAAATGTGCAGTCGTCCCAGTTGGGAGCATATACCAAAACCAAGATCACTGGCAGCGTGTACAAGTTCCCTACCACCACAACATACCGCCCATCATTATCAGCATGCACACTCGACGCTGTAAATTGCACCTGTTTACAAACTATAATAGCTACTCCTCTATCAACTGCAAATCATGACTCGAGAGTGCAGAACCTCATTGGTCATTAGGGTGACTTCTGGTCACATGGCCACAGAGTGGGATTATGGGTATTTAGTAGCAAAATTGGAACCATGAGCTAGAGGTACGTGTCATGAATTCTTTCAGTGTTTATTTCTACAGGTTAGTCTCATTGAGCCTCGAGGACTCTTTTACAAGAGAGAGCTGATTTAACAAAGAATGATGACGTCTCTAGACAAGAATACCTGTGGCATTCACTCTGTGTCACAAAAACCTGCACCCAAGAGGGACGTGTGGGGCGCCCACGAGTGTCAAAGGAAAATGTTATTCGGCGGCAGGAAGCTCAGCAGCCTGTCAAAATAAAATATAAAAAAATAAAATATAAAAATACATAAATTAGTCGCTCCTGTGTGCAATCCGTGGAGTCCACTGTACTTATTCATCATGTTTGTTTGTTGATTCATTAAAGTGATAGTTCAGGTTGTTTGATGTGCCTTTCTATTTTGTGCTATACCTGAATAGACCCCACACTGAACAGCAGTTCTCTTTACTCCCTCAGAAGAATTTCATGTTTGCTCTGTCACAAAACAGATTTGTAGTTTGATCTCAACTCCAGCCTCTCTTTAAGCTGCTGCTGAGTCTCTGGTTGAGCCGCCTCTGTCCTGAGGCAGTGTGAGCGTTTATAAATGGAGCTGGCATTGTGGAATCATGGGAGTTGTTTGTCTGACGAGCATTAATCTGTCGGGACACCTTTCATTCTAAAGCCTGCGGCCACACAGACTGTCTGCATCACACCGCTGAGCCGAGATGCCGGCTTACATTTGAATATCCTGATAAATCTGTTGGTCCCTCACTTGGTGGCTCAGAGGTGTAACAGAGGCTGGGTTGACTTCACTTCCCCTCTCCAACTTTTAATAATCCAACCGAGGTGTTAGGCCCAACTTTAAAGGGACTTCTCATTAACTTGAGTTAATCCTAGCTGCTGTTTACTGCAGGTAAAATACTGACTACTTAACAAAAGAAGACACTTCAGCAAATCTAAATGACCTTCAGTTTTTAATTTATTTTATAAGTGTCATCCTAGCTTATTGTAAATGGTTTAAAAAATGGTTTGTGTTAGAAACAGAGTGAAGGTTTCTGCTGCAGCAGCTGCTGTTGTCTCCAGTGTTTTTTCCACTTCCCCGGCCTTTTGCCACGTGTGGATTTGTTCCATGTAAACCTGGACTCCATCTTATATCTTGCTCAGAAATCTGTGTAGTGTTTCTTCAGTCATCGACATTTGTTTATTGTTTTCATTCTGTTTTTATGTTTTTATTCCCAAAACGCATTTAAGTTGCATTTGAGTTCCCACTGAAACGTTTTCTAAGTCGTTGTGTTTTGTGTTGTGTTTGGGCTGGGTTTTGTTTCGTTGTGTTCTGGCCACCTGCGGTGCGCTCCGTGCTGCTCCTCAGGGAGTTGGACATCAGTCCTCTGTCATGGATGACATAGAGGAGTGGCTGTGTACTGATGTGGTGAGCCAAGTCGTCATTTATTACTCCTGCTTGCTGTTCTTTGCTTTCCCACTCTGCTGCATCCCCCTTCTCTCCTGGTTTTGAATTCTGGGAATAACACATTTATTTCATTTCACATTTCCTCACTCTGAGATTAATCGCGCTTTAAAGTTTACTAACAATATTAATGAGGATATCAAATATAAAAAAAGCAGAACTTTGTTCATAAATGAATGGTCTCGGCTTTTGAGTTGATTGGTACAAACAGGTAAGTTGCCTTTTTGTCTAATAAATGATTAGTGATTGTTTTAAAAATCAAACAAACTGAACACTTTGGGTTTGATTTGGTAGGTTTTTTTTTTGTTTTTATAATGTTTAAGAATCTGGTTTAGTAAAGTTCACTCGTTTCTTTTTAATAGAAAGGGGATGAAGTTGAAGAAGGAGTCACCAGTGAAGGTGAGCGAACACAAACCTCTAAAGGTTTTCTTAATATGATCAACTGTAATTCAACCGTTTACCTGCCGTTTTAATGACTAGAGGAAAGTTAGACCTTTTAAAAACCTTCTGTTCTCTAATGAATCCAGAGTTTGACAAGTTCCTCGAAGAGAGAGCCAAAGCTTCTGAGACGACCCCCATCTTACCGTCGCCCCCGAGTGGCAACCCGGGCACAGCGCAGGGAACCCCCAGCAGGAAGAAGCCGGGAAGACCAGAGGACGCTCTGTTCGCCATGTAGACGTCCCACCTTCGACCTCTCCTCAGCCTTGGACCCGAGCAGCACCCGAGGCCAGACTAACGGCTCAGAAACAGATCCACCCGTGTTCCACCTCATCCCACTGCTACCTTGAGATTTTTCTACACGCTTTTCTTTCAAGATGAGAAGAGTCTCACCAGAAAACGTAAACCCAACCAATGGACTTTTCCTGACGCCAGCTCTCACCTCACAGTGTGTTCTTCTTGTTGCTGGGGACGTTTCCTCCAGATCGTTGTGGACTGCAGAGCTTCATGTTGCAGCTAGTCCTAAAAAAGAATTGGTATTCTAAAATATATATATATATATATTCATGGATATTCTGCTCATTTTGAACAGAAGTGGGTCTTGTTTTGGTGTTTGTCTCGGTCTCTTTGCAAACTTGTCCAAGTTAATTTGTAAATCTGTAAATGGCGAACGTCAAGTTTATTAGTTTGGTGTATATTTAAGCTGCATATATGGAAAAAAAAGGTAATTTAATGTAGATTTCTTTGGAAAGAGTTTGTTTGCTTTTGCTGTAGAGATGTTACCTCACTGTGGTCAGAAAAGGGGGAGACGGATACACAAGAATATCTGCAATCACTACCTTTAAAAAGATGATAAAGGATTTATTTTATCTTTGTACACGTCCTCAACGAGTCTAAAAAATCTGCTTCGTTGTGGATCCTCAGATGCTTGACACGAGATTATTTTGCTGAGTTTTATCACACTGAAGCTGCTATCGTTAGAATTCATCGGCTGAGCGTTGCTGTTGAGATATTTTCTTTTATGTATTTGTCTTTATGCTCGGTGTAATGATTTAAGAGGAATGAGATCACAGGAAGTTTGACTTCTGACTCAAATCACATCAGAGCCGACGACGGCGCCGTTTTTATCCTAAAGTCGTGCTTGAAGGACCAAATGTGTCATTTTTTTTTCTTCTATTCTGAATGTGAAAAAGCATTTCTGCATAAATTAATTGTCAGAACAGTTTTAATTTCGTTCACAGCGGGGTTTTTTTTTTTGGGGGGGGGGGGGGGGGGGGTTAAACGAGTTTATTGTGACACTACGTTTATTGTGACACTACAACAGTTTGCATGTTATTTTTTATTTTTTGTAGCTGACATCTTAAAAGGCCTGACCTTTCGAAACGACATTTGTTTCCCTGAAATGAGCTCAACTCAGACGCAGCGCTACAAATGAGACATTTTAATCTCGGCAACCGTAAACGCAACATGTTACAACAAGCTTAAAACCAGTATTGCACTTTGACGACTGCACCACCCGCCAACATGTCCTGTATGTCCGCTAGGCCTCGTTGAGTCATTTAAAAAGGGATTTATTTGGGAGGCGTAAAAATAATTAAATCAGCACTGCTGTTTTTTTGTTTTTTTCTGATCGGTATTTTAAGCTGGTTTATTTTGCAGAATGAGAAGTGGTCATGATGCATGTAGTTTAATGACATAGTTGTGTATTTTCTGTGCAACAGTGAACAAACGAGTATGGTTGAATGCTGCGCTTTTATTTATCTCATGATGGAAACATGACAGCGAACGACTCACTTTTGAAGCTCTTAGACCGACCAGTGCAATAACGTGATCGGATGTAAATCTCTTCCACGACCCCCCCCCCCCCCCTTGATGAATCGTTATTGCTGCACATTTTGAAGGTAAAATGTCTTTTCCCCTCGTCTTATTTTTGTTGTTTTGGGGTTAAATTTCTGTCCCGTGCAGCAGAAACATCCTATCCAAGACAGGAAAGGGAGTTCTACATGTGTGTTTTCAGATAAAACTGTGCTGTCATCTCAAAACTAGTTTTGAAAGAAACAAATACTTTGTACGTTTGTGGATTTTATCAAAGGAAAAGATAAGAAGGGAAGCTGTGCTGTGTGTCTGCTAACTTTCCTGAGTTGCCTCCTCGTTGGTTTCTCTTTGTGTTGTTTGACTTGTGCATGAACTCTTAATAATAAAGATCAACAGTGTGCTCTGCATCCACAGTGGTTGGTTTGTTTTCTAACGTGATTTGTAGCGCAGCACCTTTTTATGATTATTTAAAATGGGATTCAGCAGAACAGTCAACAAATATCTTACCTGTTGTAGATGACTCTTAGTAGCCTCGGTTTGCAGAGATGTTTACATCTGATTAAACTGATGAGCTGTCAGCTTGTCTGAATACACCCAACACATTTCATTGCACCAAAGTTCATACTCAATAATCCAGGTAGAAATCCAACAATGTTCAGTCAGGTCATCTGGACGGTTTTTTCTTTATTTTTTCTGAGAAGTTTCGTCCTTCATCCAAAGGACTTGTTCAATCTGAGGAGCACCAAAGCAAACTTGATTCCCACAAACATCATACGCCATAGTGGAAATCTCATTGCAGTTCATGTTGTATAAATGCCACCTTCAGTTTCTCAAACGGTTATTTGCAGATAACAACCTTTGGATACTTCACACTAGAGATGCATTCATGCCCAAAAAATCTGACCCGCTTATATAGTTATTAACGGTCAGAGGATGCAAGCAGCTGAGTAAAGGTGGCAAAATATCGGAACTGAGGGGGTGTTTGTCCTTTCATGGCCGTCTTAAATCCCTGCTTCTGCCTGCATTCTGCATTATTCAGACACGGACCCTGCTCTGACATGTCGGATATTTTGGGATCTCAACTGTTTGGGTCGTCGGCCGCGTGCGTCCGCTGAGTGCAGTGACTGAATGAACGTCCATTTTGGCTTTGATGGATCTTTTCCTGGCAGTGTAGTCCCATCTGAAGCTTAACTGAACTTTTTCACCTTTTTCAAGGCTGGTCAGTGCGCGGTCAAATGGCCATGTGTGGCTGGTGATGGTATGGCAAGCCATGTTGCCATATAATTGAATCATCAGCTGTGCGCTGACGTAATCAAAAGCCCGGCTCGCACATTATTATGGCCCGTCCCTAATCCGGGTCGAGCCAGGTTCGGGTTAGAAATGACAACTCTACGTCAGGCAGGAAGTTCATACAGTTTGTTTAAACTGTATAACATAAAATTAACAGCTGTGTGAATGTTGTCTGAGCAAATCCACTTCCTGTGAGAGTTGCTGCCAACTGTGATGCCAACAAACTATCAGGACTTTTGGCAAAGTTAAGACCAAAGTGGGTTGCTGTGGTTTAATGCAGCATACCTGCCAACCATCCTGATTTGGGTGGGACAGTCCCAGATTTTGCCCCACTGCCCCGCATGAGGGGATGGAACACCCAGTATGTCCTGCATTTGACAAGTGCTAGCTTAGCCTACCTGTTCATGCCATGAGTTTAAAGAGAGGAGGGGTATGTAGGGCTTGTTTTGCAGACTCACTGCAACATCAGGAGTGAGGCTACCGTAATAACTCTAAACTGGATCTAAAGCGCAATCTCTCAGCACAAAGTAATGCAAAGAAAGCTTGTAAAACAAGAAAACGTATCGGCAACACACTCGGAATAAGAAATAAATGTTTTCTTGTTGAAGTTCAGGTAGTTTATTCATTGATTCAGCTATCAACCTTAATTTATTAGGTTGGAATCTTATTGGTTAAATATTGCTTGGCATATTGTTTGTGTGTGTGGTGGGGGTAACTTTAAATGTCTAAAGGTTCCAGTAAAAGCAACTACCGTATTTTTCGAACTATAAGGCGCACTTAAAATCCTTTAATTTTCTCAAAAATCGACAGTAAACCTTACAATCCGGTGCGCCTTATGTATTAATTCTGGTTGTGCTTACTGTCCTTAAACCAATTTTATGTGGTTATTGTGAATGAGTTGAATAAAGTTTGACTTATCTGTTTTGTTTTGCTTAATGCGCCTTATAGTCTGAAAAATATGAACTAAATCTAAAATATTAGATAAATCTAATCTTTAGTTGCTGTGGCCATCATATGTTGGACTCATGATTGTAGACACAGATATGGTGTTTGTAGAGAAACTTGTAGTTTCTGTTTGGAGGTGTGCTTGTTCATTTTTATACCTGGTTACTAGCTAAGGTTATCTGGTGCAAAGTATATTTTGTGATAAAAGTACAATATGGTGCATTCAGAACAAATTCTTAGTGCGCAGTGTGTAAACCCCCAATAAAAATAAATAAATGGAAACAAATAAGGGCAATGCAATTTTTGTGTTTGATCTCATAAAGTTCAGCTTTAAGGCCAGTTAGTGTTCATTGTTCCACCTTTCAGTAACTATAATATAATGATTTTATGTTTGTTTAATCCTGGGATATTAGTAAAATGCACAAAAAATGGCTGGAAAATACACAATTAGATTTTTTTTAAATTGCCCCAGACTCTCCCATGACTTCTTCGCATCACTTGTGCTCATGAATACATACAGGTGACCCTCACTGTCATCAGCATAGATATTAATACAGACACCTTTATTCTGTCATCAGTTCATTACTTCATAGAACTTTATGGTTAATTGCAGAGGTGAGTTGTGGGGCTAGTAAGCTGTAATACTTCCTGTGCAGTTTGTAATTTCTATATTATGAATATCATAATTTTTGTGCCAAAACTATTGTGTAATACAAAATCAACATTAAAGTAAAGGGTTCTTCCTTTTTTTTTCGGCTTTTCCCTCTTCAGGGGTCGCCACAGTGAGTCATCCTCCTCCACCTCACTCTGTCCTCTGTATCCTCTCTCCTCACTTCAACTACCTTCATGTCCTCTCTAACTGCATACATATATCTCCGCTTTGGCCTTCCTCTTTGTCTTTTTCCTGGCAGCTGCATTTCTAACATCCTTCTGCCAATATACCCACAGTCCCTCCTCTTGACATGTCCAAACCATCTCAGTCTGGCCTCCCTAACTATCTCCCAATTGTTCAACCTGTGCTGTACCTCTGATGATCTCATTCCTAATCTTATCCATACTTGTCACTCCTAAGGAGAACCTCAACATTTTCATTTCTGCCACTTCCAGTTCTTTCTCCTGTCTTTTTGTCAGTGCCACTGTCTCCAGACCATACAATATAGCTGGTCTCACCACTGTCTTGTAAACTTTTCCTTTGACCTTTGCTGACACCTTTTTGTTACAAATCACCCCTTAAACTTTTCTCCATCCATTCCATCCTGCCTGGACTCTTTTTCACTTCTTTACCTCATTCCCC